ATATGCTATTAAAGCACACTTCTTTAGATTTTAAGAGGTCAGTCAAGTGGATTGAAATTGGGGTTACAGGATGCAGGATCAATTTCGTATGGTTAACATGTACTTGAAGGACAAATGAAAATCTTCAGATGGGTTTAGGTTGCTTGGAGTATTTACATTTCGTGTTTACTCATATTATAACAAACTATTTAATTCTCTTAAAAATCATAGTTCTGACCATAACATTTTGTTTTATGGACAGTTTATTATCTTTTAATGATGTAGAATAGTATGTTTTGACCACAAAAAGAATACATTTTTTCTTGAAAAACATTAATGTGGTTGTAAATAATCATCATAAATAAAAAATTAATTGATTGAAGCAACTCTTTGAAATAATCTACAGGGTGTCACATAAGTCCCGTCCCCCCTCTACAGCCAAAACCAAGATATATGGTACCAAGTGTGATTAAAATGATTGAAAAAATCATTATAAATCAAAAATTACATTATAAATCAAAAATTAATTGACTGAAGAAACACTTTGAAATGACTTGAAATTGAAATGATGATGTACATTTGATAACCATGAGAAATGGAACCATTTGTCACAAACACTTCAACTGCAAATTATACAGAACACACAATTTAGCCTGATTATTTCAGAATTTTGACATAATGTTACGATAAATCATGATAAAATAGACTACTAAGTAATTATAACAAAAAATGTTTATTTCGTCTCAATGATTTTGGTAACAATGTATGATAACATCATACTATAAACCTTATAGGACAGCTCATTTCCTAGTGTTATCTTAGCCAATGACGTGCAAAGATTTATAAGTAAGTATAAGTAAATACGATAATGAATGTGTTGAAATCGCAAATAATTCAAGTTATATCACAACAGAAATTAATATTTCATGCATCATGTAACCATAGTCTAGGTCTTCGATACATAAATCGTCTACATTCAGAAATGTAACGTAATGTAAAAGAGATAATTTTAGATATCAATGTCAAAATAAGCTCAATAGCATTATCAATGAGTGTACTTCAAAAATTGACACACACTCAGCTACTTGTGATATTACAACCTTTCATAGGTAGGGGTCTATTAAAGATCCCTCAATTTTCCATTTATGTTTAGAGTGCTTATACTATCAATGTACGTGTGGCTTACTTTTTAAAAGAAGAGGTAAAAACTCATGTAGACCCCCTCTTGTACAATTATTACCTTTTGAAATTTTGAAAAATTTCCAATTTGCAAAAGAGTCTACAAGAAGTTAGAAAATCTAAAGGTCAACAGAGAGCATCCTTATCATGTAAATGTCAAAAATATGAAGTTGATACACAAAAAGTGGATGTTGGGTAATACATTCTTAAATGACAGAAGTTGATCTTGTAAGTTATAAGTTTGTGTTTTTCAACATGAGTAGAACTTCTTGTGACTTACACACTTTAAGTAGCTATTTATCTACGTCATTCAGCACTTCACTAGAGTGATTCTTACAATTTTGGCTTCTTGCACATGTTGGACAATAAATGTCAAGTTTTATATGAGAGTAATCTGTCAATAAAACCCCATAGTTCAGATCTACTTTCTCACTTTGAAATGTGTGAAGCCATTGCCAAAAACACATACAGAGTTTTAGCCCTGTTTTCGGGTCAATAATAATTCATAATTTTAATGTTACAATTTATTTTGATTTATGAACAACTATTTACCTGATCTCTACATGTTATCTGAGAGGCTGTTAAAGCCTGATTGCAAACCAATTTCACTCAAAATGGTGACATTTTTTTTCATTTGCTACATAAGTGACTCAGACTGACTCAGTAATCTAAGTAACTTATCCTATGTCATGGGTGTAGCCAGGGGCAAGAGGCAGGTGAGGTAATAGCCTCACCAACATTTTGCAGAAATATATCTATTTGGACTTTTTAACTAACATCTGTGGAAATAAACATGCCTTCTTTAACCTAAATCTTACATGATTTGCCTCTCATATAATTCTTTTTTTTTAACCTGGCTACACCCCTGTATGTACATGGCATATTGACGTTTTCACTGCTGAGTAGTTTAATTTTAAATGTGTGTTGTGAAACATTTAGACAATCCCTTTAAATATATACATGACTAATATAGTATTTAAGCACTCTAAAATTGCACATATCTTTTTAACCCTTGATTAAGTTATCTACTGTATGATTTATCATATTGCAATTAAATGTTCTTCTGTAGGAAATACACAACACCCTGTTACTTATTGTGTTAACACATTTCAAGAACACCTATCAGTGGCGGTTCCAGAAATTAACAAGGAGAAAATGGAAAATTATGGGCCCCTATTAGTAAAAAGGCCCAAAAGAAAAATTAAGGCCCTTATTTTAATTTTGCCCCAAAAAGGCCTAAAAAGGACAAATTATGCCCAAAAAGGCCCAATTTTGAGGCCCTTCAAAACTAAAAAATTCTGGGCCCAATGGGGGGGGGGGGATAGGGGCCCGGGCCCCATGGTATATTTCAAGAACACCTTTAATGCCAATTAGCTTGAAAACATGTTTTGAAAAAAAGGTCAATATTTGAAATGATACCTACTTTCTGAGAACATGGGAATGAAAATAATAACATACCAGTAGTTTTTTTTTTAAAAATCTCCCACAATCTGAAGGGAATCAAGATTGGATAATACATTTCAACATTGTCTCAGAATACGAATATTTCTACAGCAAGGTTATAACACTAAGTGTCTGAATAGAGACTACATGTAAACACATGGTTATAGATGTTTTTTTATACTTGGAGCACAACTTAAATATCGTTATCTTTCATTTGATACGCTATAGTAAATTAAGTATTATTTGAAAAACCCACTCAATTTTCAACTGCTAAATAAAAGATAAAAGCAAGAACTTGAAATGATTTAACAGATCCTAAATGCATGGCATCATGTTAGAGCAATAAAAGTCCCTTTCAGAAGTGTGGAGAGACAATATTTAAGAGATACCTCACCCTTCCTGGTCATCATAAATCTCTACATTTTAAGATGTGGCATACAATGTCAATATGTCAGAACACAATATACTTAAGATGTTTTCATCCCTTCAAGAATCGCCCCTTGAGAATCTCCCTAGTGATGAACTAGCTCAATCAACTGGACAACACAATCTACATTTCAAATTAATAGAATCTCAATAAAAGTGATAAAATGTTGATATCAATAAGCGTTTATAAGATACATGCTGTCCTTGAAATTAATACCTTTAGAAATGACAACAAGCCCATAAAACTTGAAGAAATCATAAAAGATCAAAATGTTCTCTTGCAGTGTATGTGTGAAAAAGTTCTTCAGAGATATTTAATACAACCAAGCACGTCTCTTGGTACATTTTAGTAGGTTTTAATCTACCATAAAACCCACCAAAGGTTGCGAGAATGTTATTTTTACACCCCTAAGGTATCCCAGTCTGCAATTACTCTCTCATGTACCATATTTAGACTGTGAAATCATTTACTTTGCTTGTCTTAACCACAAAACCCTAAACTGCTTGGATTAATGATCTGCAATGAAAACATATATCATCAATATCCATAATGTTTGTCATATAAAAAACTTGGCACTTAATCATAATTTATATGAGGAGTGCCAACACTGACATGAAATCAAATCCAATCTCATTGTGATGTGTAACCTTTTAACCTCAATCCATCAGTTTATTGTTTTCTATATGCGAGTGGAACTCTTGGCAACATAATATACAAGATTTCACTATATGGGTGCATTTAACAGGACATAGTTTAACTAGTTAAAAGGCTTGTATTTTGCTTACAAAGGTTACTTATACACATTCTATTAACAATGACAACTCTGCTTTGCATTCCATCTATTATATTATATTATGTTAAATTATATTACATTATATTATATTTATTAAAATAAATAAACTAAACTATATTATACTATATTACATTATATTATATTTATATTATATTATATCATGGATTTTCAATTAGAGTTGAAAGCCCATGATTATATCAAATCTATTTTATTATTTGAAAATTGAAGTAACAATAAGACATTCAAACGAACAAGAACTAATTCACCAATATAGATATTAAATAAATAAATAAAAATCTCAACTACTCAATATATAAAGCATGTCATTTATTTTGGGAAGTACCTCACTTCAAGTAATGCTAAGTGAACAAAAACTGGTCATGATTTACTGACTATAATTATTGAAAGAGGAGATTTAAATATGGTTTGGATGATTAAGTTCGATAAAATATGGTGTAACAAGAATAGTGAAGTAATGGCATTTTACACCCACGATAAGTATATTCAAAACCGATGATGAAAGTAGTCCCTGTACTCGTACATATCCCCATTCTCATATATCTTAGATGGCACTGGGATCAACATGTGGGATTATGCTTTAATACTTTGATAATGATAATGGAAATTGTGATGTCAAGCATACATTTTTCCAAGAAAACAACACATTTTTTCCAATGTTAATGGCTTGGGACCTCAAAGTGATGCCTCTCCATTATGAAACTGGAATTCAAAACTATTGTTTAGATTTCAGTGTTCTTGTTTCAAGTGGGTGCAGAATTCTAAATTTCACATTAGACAAAATTTGGTCAAATTATGCCCATTTTTCATAATTTTTTACAGTTTCAAGCGGGTGCAAATGGATTCTCAGGTGGGTGCAAGCCTAATGCTGGGAGATCACTTGATTTGGATTTGATTCCTATGTTGAGCTAATTCTTTTCTTTTATGTTGAATATGCAAACAACTTACACATGCAAGGGAGATGTTGCTTCCAAACCTGAAATGTACATTTAATGTATTTAATATTAAATGAGTTCAACTGTAGGATGATCTACTATTAACATCAACTGTGACAACTTCAGTAAATTAATTTAATAGTTTCAGTATGACACAACTTATCTAATTCAAACTAGGTAGATGAGAATGGGCATGGGTTACATGTTATGATGAATATACTTCCAGTATCCTGAGGACAATGAGCCATGGACAGAGACATTAGATGCCACCACGTTACCCCCAGCCTGCCCCCAGATGTATGGCTACATGGGCTACATCAAACTCCATGTTCCTGACTTCAACAACACCAATGAAGACTGCCTCTACTTGAATGTATACACCCCTCATGTATGTACCCATCAGGGCCTAAACAATACATATCAATGCTAGATCTCAGGGGCAAAACAATACAGCTTATGGCCTAAACATTAGATCTCAGGGGCTTAATAATGAATCTTAGAGTTTAAACATTGGATCTTATAGGCTCCATAAAAGGTTTTAGAAGATGAACATTCAGTCTTAGAGGCAAAACATTATTCACTCCATTCTATAAGTTTGGCAACCTTTATCCCCTTTTCAGTTATTTCAAAAGTTCAAGTAAAAAGTAAGGAGGATCAGAGCCCAAGAATTTAATGACAGAATGGTAAAAATATTCAATCATGATTTAAATAACTAGATTTTGTAGTTTTGATTTCATTTGACATCCAGAAATGTTTTTCTTCTTGTGATAGAACCCAATCAGAAGAATGATTGGTATTTAAAAAGAAAACAAATTATTACTTCAAGAAATACATGGAATAAGAAACATGAACATCCAAGATGACAATCGACCCATCACCAAAATTACCAATCTTTTTTAAATGCTTGCATGTTCTGTGTAGCACAGGAGTAGTTCAAGAAGAATTAAAAGAGCAGTGCTGGTGTTTATACATGGGGGATCCCAGGAGTTTGGTATGGGAGCCCATTTCCCTGGTCACATTCTTGCTGTTAATCAAGACATTGTGGTGGTCACATTCAACTACAGAATAGGACCATTAGGTAAGACATTGTGGTGGTCACATTCAACCATTAGGTCAGACATTGTGGTGGTCACATTCAACTACTGAATAGGACCATTAGGTAAGACATTGTGGTAGTCACATTCAACCATTAATCAAGACATTGTGGTGGTCACATTCAACTACAGAATAGGACCATTAGGTAAGACATTGTGGTAGTCACATTCAACTACAGAATAGTACCATTAGGTAAGACATTGTGGTGGTCACATTCAACCATTAGGTATGACATTGTGGTAGTCACATTCAACTACGGAATAGGACCATTAGATTAGACATTGAGGTGGTCACATTCAACTACAGAATAGGACCATTAGGTAAGACATTGTGGTAGTCACATTCAACCATTAGGTAAGACATTGTGGTGGTCACATTCAACAATGGAATAGGACCATTAGGTAAGACATTGTGGTAGTCACATTCAACCATTAATCAAGACATTGTGGTGGTCACATTCAACTACAGAATAGGACCATTAGGTAAGACATTGTGGTAGTCACATTCAACCATTAGGTAAGACATTGTGGTGGTCACATTCAACAATGGAATAGGACCATTAGGTAAGACATTGTGGTAGTCATATTCAACCATTAACCAAGACATTGTGGTGGTCACATTCAACTACAGAATAGGACCATTAGGTAAGACATTGTGGTAGTCACATTCAACCATTAGGTAAGACATTGTGGTGGTCACATTCAACAATGGAATAGGATCATTAGGTAAGACATTGTGGTAGTCACATTCAACTACAGAATAGGACCATTAGGTAAGACATTGTGGTAGTCACATTCAACCATTAGGTAAGACATTGTGGTGGTCACATTCAACAATGGAATAGGACCATTAGGTAAGACATTGTGGTTGTCACATTCAACTACAGAATAGGACCATTAGGTAAGACATTGTGGTAGTCACATTCAACTACAGAATAGGACCATTAGGTAAGACATTGTGGTAGTCACATTCAACTACAGAATAGGACCATTAGGTAAGACATTGTGGTGGTCACATTCAACCATTAGGTCAGACATTGTGGTGGTCACATTCAACTACTGAATAGGACCATTAGGTTAGACATTGTGGTGGTCACATTCAACTCCGGAATAGGACCATTAGGTAAGACATTGTGGTAGTCACATTCAACTACAGAATAGTACCATTAGGTAAGACATTGTGGTGGTCACATTCAACCATTAGGTATGACATTGTGGTAGTCACATTCAACTACGGAATAGGACCATTAGATTAGACATTGAGGTGGTCACATTCAACTATGGAATAGGACCATTAGGTAAGACATTGTGGTAGTCACATTCAACCATTAGGTAAGACATTGTGGTAGTCACATTCAACTACAGAATAGGACCATTAGCCAAATTGCATGCATAGTTTATCTTAAGGGGACCTCTATTTTTTCAGAAAGCAAAGAACATGAATATTGAAGGGATGATCTTGACATAAAATACATGTGCAATATATTGTATGAATATTGCAATTAAAAATTAAAATGGATTTTATTTATTAAAATAAGAATTTCAATATGAAACAGTGACAAATGGTATTTTAAAGATTATTTGAATTGAGATTGTCAAGATCGCTGTTACATGAGACTAAGAAATTGAGAAAAATGAAGAATGCCATAATATTTAAAAGTCTCCTTCACTAGAGTGCTCAAAGAAATACAAAATTAATGCAGCTCTTTGAATGAAAAATATTCTTACTAAATATATGTCAACAAAAACAATCATTTGTACAAATACTTTGACAAATGATTAAGATTGATATTTTCACTTTCCCTGACAATGCTACTAGTTTAATTAAGTTTATTGGTTCTTTCCCCCCATAGCACTCATAGTAAGTAATTTCCCACAAATTTACAACACTCAGGGACAAAACTTTGATCATAGGCATTGGGAAGCAAAGGTTTCTCCCTTCCCTTGCAAGACAAATCTGAACCCCTTGTTTTCTCAAAATACAATAACTGCACAATGTATTGGGTTTCTGTTTAACTTAACCCTACAATATTTTAATTCTGCTTCATATACAGGATGAATTTTTTTTTTAAAACATTACCCCCATATCTAAAGGTCCTTCCTCTTACAGTAGTGAATCTCACTATTAATGGTAGAATAAGTGACAGCTACTTTACTTAACTACCATAATGGCTTCCAAGTCAATATCATTAAGCATGTTATAATTTGCTTTATTTATAATACTGCAATAACAGATTAATAACATTTTTTCAAAAAATCTCAATCAAATATTGCAATGACTATTGTTCCCATAACTGTTAAAGGTGCAATTAAAACTGTCTTATATGATGACTGAATTATTTGAATCTTATAATTAACTAAAAGACAAATCATAGAAAGACAAATACCTTTGCTATTGACATTGCCTTACATTATATTGTGCTGTGAATTCTTTGGATTCTTTTTTATTTCTTTATTAGGTTTCCTAAGTTTTGCTACAAATGAACTGCCGGGGAACTATGGTCTTCTGGACCAGGTTAAACTCCTTCAATGGGTTCAGAAAAACATTGGTGAATTTGGTGGAGACGCTGAAAGAGTTACCATATTAGGACATAGTGCAGGTGGCGCTAGTGTTGGTCTTCATCTTGTTTCACCGTTATCTACAGGTAAGAATATTACGGTTGAAAAATCCATTAGTTCAAATCTATATTTCACTGTTTCTATTACAAGAAAATTCCAACTTCCAAATAGGATACTTGATGACAGCTATGTAAAAATATTTCCACATGCAATCAATACAGGCAGTAAAATAGAAGATAAATTGGACTTATTACTTAAGAATAAGCACTTACGGAGCTTGATCCTTGGTGAATTGCTTTTGCCGTAGGGATTTCTGAGTGATATTTTCTAGAGACATCTGCTATCATAGCATTGTTTTATGCAGCCACATGGCACACAATGCAAAATTAGAAAAAAATCTTCATTTTGCAGTCATACATGAAAATCATGCGATAACTTGACATAATATTTCAAAGGATATCTTGACTCCATACCTTTGGTGCACTTCCCGTATAAATAAGATAAAGAATTTGACACTGATAAAGGAATTCTTAGTTGTTTGCACCATGAGACCTGGGCTCCTATAAAACATCAAATAATCAGCACCTCTTTCAAGTTGTTATGGAACACCAACTTTTATGTACAAAACAAAGGATATTAGATATTGTATTGATCAATATATTGTCTGTTGCATTGAACCATAATATATAGAATGACAAACATGTGGGGATCATGCCTGGGGCAATTCCACAAGCACATGGATTCCATTCCTATCTTGATTGATCAAGGCTCATGGTGCCTGGTATTGGGTCTGTAATCTTGTATTTTTCACAAATAAAGCGTATCACATTATCAATATCCCAATATTTCATCAAAAGAAATAATACAGGAAATAATTATTTACTTCACATCTCTACATGTTTCTAATGAATAAATCCATCCATACTTTCCAGCTGACTTCTATCGCTATCTTCCAGGTCAAGGTTCTATAAACAGAAAATGCATTTTCATCAAACAGAGAATGCATTTGTATTTTCAATTTTTGAGACCCAATAAACAGAGAATGATTTTTTACTTTCAAGTTTTGAGGCCCTACAGAATAGAGAATGCATTTATATTTTCAACTTTTGAGACCTACAAACAGAAAATGCACTTTCTTTTATTTTCAAGTTTTGAGACCCTACAAATGTTACTTTCAGGTTTATTTAAACGTGTAATCAGCATGAGTGGCACCCCATTTGCCCATTGGGCAGCCATGCGACCCCCTGCTTCACCAGAAAAATATGCTAGGTCTTATGCTAAAAGTATGGATTGCGCAAGTGGCTCAATAGCAGACATCAAATTTTGCCTAAAGATGCATGGGATTGAAACTCTTATGAATGGTAACCTGTCTGTAAGTACAAAAGTAAAATCATAGCTTTTATATTCCCTACTTATTCTGGATAATCAACAATTCATCTGTAATAGTAAATGATGGTTGTTCACCCTTAAATGTTACTTCCACAGTGATTTAGGTTTTTGTGATGTCATTACAATTCAGCTGAGTCCTGTTCCTATGAGTGTCCATGTATTTTCTACTGAAATATGTTTGAGTTTTAACAACTCTTTTTGGAGCTAAATATCAGGGTCGTTTGTGAATATATTTATTATAACATTCTGACAACAGAATCCTGTCTAATAGGTCAACCAACCATTAATCTAAATATTTGAGTAGCTAAACCTATAAATAAGCAATGATATTGTCTAAATTACCAACCATAACTTAGCAAATGCATGCAATAGCTATTATCAGCTACCATGATAGAACATAAACAACAAAACAGGTGGATGTAAAACATATCTGTTCGTTGAACAAAGTAAAGATAAACAAGAACACATCAAAATGTGAACACTATTTTTAATCCAATTTTTAATATTGAAAATCTCTCAATAAGGAAACTTTTAGCTAATTTTAGACAGGTTTTATTGAACTCCACTTGACACAAGTTATCGATACTCTATAAGGTGTGGCAGCATTGGTCAATAAGTTCAACAAGTATGAGAAGGAGGCTAAATGCCTAGTGCTAAATGAAGGGAGGCAACCAAGCACTAGGCTAAATACCCAAATCATATTTAAATAAAATCTATTCAATGAAGGGAGACAAGAGGCACTAGGCTAAATACCTAAATCATATTTAAAAAAATCTATTCAATGAATGGAGACAAGAAGCACTAGGCTAAATACCTAAATCATATTTACATAAAATCTGTTCAATGAAGGGAGGCGACAAGCACTAGGCTAAATACCTAAATCATTTTTACATAAAATCTGTTCAATGAAGGGAGGCGACAAGCACTAGGCTAAATACCTAAATCATATTTAAATAAAATCTGTTCAATGAAGGGAGGCAACAAGCAATAGGCTAAATGCCTAAATAATATTTAAATAAAATCTGTTCAATGAAGGGAGGCAACAAGCACTGGGCTAAATACCTAAATCATATTAAATAAAATCTGTTCAATGAAGGGAGGCAACAAGCACTAGGCTAAATGCCTAAATAATATTTAAATAAAATCTGTTCAATGAAGGGAGGCAACAAGTACTAGGCTAAATACCTAAATCATATTAAATAAAATCTGTTCAATGAAGGGAGGCAACAAGCACCAGGCTAAATACCTAAATCATATTTAAATAAAATCTGTTCAATGAATGGAGGCAACCAAGCACTAGGCTAAATACCTAAATCATATTTAAATAAAATCTGTTCAATGAAGGGAGACAAGAAGCATTAGGCTAAATGCCCAAATCATATTTAAATAAAATCTGTTCAATGAAGGGAGGCAACAAGCACTAGACTAAATACTTAAATCATATTTAAATAAAATCTGTTCGATGAAGGGAGGAATCTGTTCAATGAAGGGAGACAACAAGCACTAGGCTAAACACCTAAATCATATTTTAGGAGAATCTGTTCAACGGAGAAAGATAACTAGTGCCAAGTAAAATGCTCAATTATTCAGTATTTTTTATTAAGAATTGTTTAATTTATTGAGTCTCACTGTACTTCAAGTACAGCCATGGGTGAACTAATGCACCAGAATTTGTAAGTTTCTTTTAGTTTATGTACTGCAACACTAGATAATTGCTATCTATTTATTACATGTGAAGAATTCCTGCACTTTACCTTGACACTTTATGTTGCATTCTGAGTTATTACAAACCAGTTCTTTCAAGTAACCCTAAAACTTAAATACAGAAGTAAAAAAAGCCTTTGCAAATTATTGAAAATTGATACTATAATTTATACTGTAATTCTTACACTGTACAAACAACTAAATATAAGAAAATTAAATATGTTGTGAAAAGAATAAAATTAAGTCAGAGCACAGATTAAATTCAACATTTTATAACAAAATTTTGAAGAGGGATTTACATATAAGTTTACCAAGAGCCCCTTCCAACTGATGGTAGCTGTCAATGTCAGATTTTTAAGAATGATTAGAAATCCGACACAATTCTAGGCTAAGATTGGTTCATCAATCAACAAATTGACAAACCAATTCTAAACATGAAACAGGTTATATTTTGGATATCAACAATTTTAAAAAGGTACAAGAGGCAACATTTTGACAAAATTCTTAATTGTCAATTTTCAAGTTCTTTGTGCAGAAATGGTTCCATGATATGGGTATTAATGCATCAACAGAGAATCAAAGGGGTTTAGGGTCTTTGTAGAATTAATATTCCCTGAAAATTAAAAGTTTGATCATTAAGGTGCTAAACCAATTCAATACAAAAATGGTAAAAGAAGAAAAAACAAAAATCTACCACGCTTGTTACTTCATCTGGCCTTCAACAGTATCAAGGTCAGTAAGGTCACCCCATTCTCAGTGATTTTCTTAAATGATACTTCTCTTCTTGACAAGGCAATATCAGATTATACAGAGCCTGGAGTACTAAGAGCAACCCAACTACTGCCTCAGCATGTTAAATCAAATCAAAAACATATTTTAGAGACAATTGGTCATGGGAGAACAATGTTAAATATTTTATGGTAAAGTGCTATCCAATTAACCTAAAAAACAACAAAGGGAAGATAAATAGTTATATGCAACACAGTCAAAAATTGACATATGAGCACCTGCACTGAAATGTTTCTTGTTGAGGGCAACATAATACAGCAGCTCAAAAATGGAACAATAAAAAATGTTTGGAAGCCGAAACTTCAAAGAATTCTAATTTCCAATATCTCTTTTCCATTTTGAATAATTTTCTTACAGGTACTTTATAGTAAAGGAACTCTCCTCTTTTGATTATTCAACCACTCATAGCCTATTTCAGTCAAAACAATCCTCATTGGCAAAAATGTGAAAAATGATATCAGATTTTGATTAACTGTTACACTCTCCCCTTGAATATATTGTGAACAAATTTATAAATATATGGTATATTGCAGCGTGCTACCGCCACCACTGAGAGATCCTACGCAGTCGTAGATGGTTACTTTCTTCATGGGTCTCCAGAGGAAATGATAGACCAGACTAGAAATGCTGAAGAATACCTGCTGGGTACTACAAAGGATGAGAAATCTCTATTAGGTAGGCAGTGACCTCTTTCTGTAATAAAAAATATTATCATTGAAATAAATTTTCATTACAGTGTATTTAGCAACTTTGTGTCAATATAGTTAGTATAAAATTAATATTATTTCAATTGTGGTCATAACTCAATTGCCTGAATCAGACCAATGAAGCAATTAACCTTTCCAAAAAGTGTTTCAATTTTAAAATGTTTTGGTCTTGTATCATTCTCATGTATTTTCTGAAAATCCCATACTTTATTTAGGAAGAAAAGATGTTCACATTTGTAAAGTAACTATTCGATGAGATATCATTGAAACTTTTTGTTTGGAATAATATATCGGGTGTCCCAAAAGTGAGCTGCTTTTTGACAAGTATTTTCTCAGCAATCGCCAAGCCGAATTCTTTGAATTTTTTATTGAGGGACAATAGTGTATCACTAGAAAGTGCAATAAATATGAAAGATCATTATGAACCACTTGCTAATGATACCCAGAGACTACTTTATTGAAATTTTCAATGAATTTGAGTCATCTATTGGTGAGAAAATACTCACTTTTTTGGGACACCCAATATATTTGAGATTGTAATTACATTGATAGCACATGTTAGCAATTTTGTCACAAATATAGTTCTGATTCTGCCTTTAATCTTTCCCTTTAAGTTCATTCACATGTACCTGTGTACTATTGTAGTATTTCAAGGTTGATTTCTATTTAGTAAAATATCTTCTACAAAATGTTCCTGAAATGGATGGAATAGATAAAGCAACATATCAGCGCTGTACAGAAACGTTCAAATGGTACATTCTCCCGAATAACAGTGATCGTAGTGATATACTTGGTATGTGGGGTTGATGTGGCAGAGTGGCTTCTAGGTGCATTGTAGGTGCATTACAGGTGCCTTGCAGGTGCCACTAACCTTGGAAGTACCATCTTTCCCTCATAAATGATGCAATCACACTACGTGTACTTGAAACAAGAATCTTCAAAAACACAATCATAATATAAGTTATATCTGAGATCATTTTATTGATTTCAACAAAATCAAGGCTTGAACATACTTGTGTGATTACATCTATATAGGGGTCTGAACAATTTAATTGTCTGGTCTCTGGTTTCGATCTGTTTAGAAGTTGCCAGGCATTGAGAACAATTAAATAATACAGATCTATCTAACACAATTCCAGTCTTACTAACCAGCTACAAGCATTTATTGTATGGAGAAATGATGACCCTGTCCATGTATCAAATGATGATACCTACTGTACATGTCAGAAAATGAATTCTAATACCCTCTGTCTATAGTATAGCCTTTTTGGACTTGCCATGACCTATACAGGTAGCAGAACTGTTAAATAACTATGACAGTACAGTAAAACATATATATTTAGATGACATTAATTTTTGAACATTAATTTTTGAACCAAACCCCATTTTAGTGCCACATGCCTACATTGAACATTTTTGTCTATTTCAAAGTGTTCACTGTATAAAAGTTTTACTGTACTGAACAGTTGGTTAAAACTACACTATATTAATCAAGCTACAAATCTTCTAATATACAAGTATACATGTAATTAGAACATACAAATAGCAACCTCAAGGCACATGAATATATGCATGTTCTCCACACTAAGTTTGTATGGGGAGTAGTGTCATAAAATCAACTGCATGATGCTCAATACATGTAGAAGAAGCTCTATTTTAAAAGTGAAGTTGAAAAAATGCAAAGGGCATATGCCACTCATGTTGGCATAAGATGTTCAACCAAAGTGCCTTTGCTATTTATGTGATCAACTTTGCAACTAATTCTAGGTCATCCCATTTCCCCGTAAATCATTGAATTAAAAGGCATCGTCCTGGAAAGCTGATTCTTACCCTATAGACTTTCCGATACAATGCCCTTTGATTTAATGTACAGATCTCCAAATCAACAAGCCTTAAATCTAACTTTGATCAAACAAAACTTCCATGAATGAAATGTCCAGATTGTCTTTTTTTCAAAGGCAAAATAGAGAATTGACATTATAGACATGGCCACCCATCTTAAAGAATATTTAATCTTGCATCAAACTCTTGTTATAACCCCATCTTGAATTTATCACTCCATGCACTCTTAGGATTTGAAATATTCCTGAAGTCTGGTGATGAAATCTCTTCTGGTACAACACAACAGACTTCAGGATTATGATACTTAGAACCTTCATTAGGGATTCTCATGTTTTATACTTAATTTTACACATGGTCAATTTTATTTAATTGGTGGGTGGCAAAAAGACTGATTTGGTAAGAGTGAGAATCAATTTTAAAATTAAAATGTACTTTTTTTATGAATGAAATACAACTTCCAAAAAGGTGGGAAGATTGTTGTAAAGAAAATTGAGTATGTGTAAAATTCAGTATGAAACTTTGAAGGTGTCCTTTAAACATTATGAGATTCAGGAAGAGATCAAAGTGAAGCAACAAGTCTTGATGCAGGATTGTGAACTTGCTTTTTAGTTAAATACATTAGTTTGACGTATAATCTATCCAGTGATGGTTTAACTCAGGAGGAGTTTCAGCAGCAGGTCAATCTACAAAGGTCCCGTCTCCCAATCCTCCCTGAGTCGCATGGATGTGGCTTGTTAGGTATATCCACCACTCACAAATAGAACAATTAGAATGACATCACAGTCATGTTTTGAAATGTTTAATACTGTGCAATACCGAACAGTTTATAGACTAGACCTTGCAAATCCCTAAAAGGGGATGGCAAAAACTTGAGACAAGGTGCATAACAAGAGCATTCAATGGTGCACATAAATTTTTGCATTTCCAAGCATCATTGTTGATAACATTGTGAACAAGTCAATCATTATTGCTCAATATCACAGGCATTGTACTTTGTTTATTTTTTATTTTAACAATGATGAACATAAGTGGAGAAAATTTCAAATAGGTCCAGAATATTTGTTTGAAGTTCTTCTCATAAATTGTACACAAAAGTCAAATATGAAAAAATCATTAAAAATCGAACTTCAATGAGATTTTCAAAGCTTTAATATAAAAGCAAAGCCTCTCTCGTGATATGGTTTCACTTGTGATTGGGTTAGATTGAATTGTTCATTTGTTAAGTGTGAGTGGTGGCCATAAAGTATCTTCACTTGTCTCACCATTAAGCGCTTCTAGTCGCTGCCTTACTAACACATTCAGTTCTAGTTAGATACCAGCTTTCACTAACTCTAACAAAATTAAACTAAATAAATCAAATACAAATAAGATTGCTCATTCATTATATCAGTTGAGTTGTAAACCAGAGACATTATTTTCACATTTACTCAGACAAGCTATAGTGAGCCAAAAACACACTTCATTAGTATATTGTAAACATTTATAGATATATTTACTCAGACCACTTACTCAGCAACAAACAAATTCAAATCAATCACTTTTACTTCCTATTTCCTCTAGATACTACTACAACTACTTAAATGCTGCTATTTTAGATATGTGTAGTCGGAAATTGATTCTTAAACTCTAAGTTTGTTATTTTAGAAATGTTACGTCACTACTATACCCACTGGGAAGAGCCCGACAATAAATATCTCACTAGGCAGAGCTTGATTGAACTACTTAGTGATAAAGACTTTGGGGCGCCGGCCATCAAGACCGCTAATATCTTATCAGGGTACAACATGAGCACTTACATGTATATATTTGAATACAGATCAGAGTTAGACACTACATTAGAATGGGAGGGTAGGTTCAGTGTTCAGCTTTAATAGAATGTGCATATACAGTACAGTCTTATGCTCAGAAACAAAATTACCACAAAAAATATGTTAATTTAACTTCCTATAATTGGCAATGTTCTGTGTGTGAAACAATGCAACACAGCCCTTCCACTTTCCTTATTCAAGTTAAGGAAATAAAAAATTGTAGCTTGCATATATCAAACATGATGCACAATATGTTCACAAAGGATGTCCAAGACAATTTTCGTTATTCCATTTCTTTTTACACATCTCAATCATTTCTAAGCTTGCTAATTACATCCAAATGCCTCTGCTTGTACTCCACCTCCTTCCATATCATGACCACGACCTCCTTGCAATGATTATAATTTATCTCTACAGGTGTTCCCCATGGTGTGGACCTTTTCTACCTCTTTGGAATCCCACTAGAAGGTCATCCAACCCGTAACTACACAGATCAAGACAAACAAATGAGCCACCACACAATGACATTTTTTGGTAACTTCATAAAAAATGGGTGAGATTTGTACATGCAGTTTTATAATAACAATTGGAATTATAACTTAGATGAATTAACTACACCTCTCTTATTTTATAACACATACTCTATTGACATTTATGTATGAATGAAATCTGAACAGTGAAATCCATCTACATATACAGTAAACACTGAACACTTGATATCTGTTCCAGTCAGCCACGTGTAAAATCATACGGAGGTCCTATATACAACAAACAATCTGCAGAATATGCCGCAATAGGTCGAGGAAACACAGTTGAAACTGTCACAGGAGCGAAACTGCGACCAGGAAAGATAGACTTATGGAATAACCTTCTTCCTAAAATGTTACAATCAAAGGTACGAAATTCTCCTCCAACTCAGTGTTCTACAAAATGCAATGAAACAGAGACAGCATTACCAGAACCAGACACACTGAATGCTCCAAGGGAGACCTGTAAGGAGGGTGTACCTTTCAGGATATTAACATGGGTGTTCATAGGAATAAGTTGTTTCTTACTTATCATTCTCATAGCATTTGTATCGAGGACTTGTAGCTGTAACAATAAAGGTGAAAATAAAAGACCCGTCAAAGTCTGAAAATTATTTCCACCTTACTCACATTCAATAATTTTACATATCTCATATTCATCATCGACACATCTGATTAAGAAAAGTAAGCTATTTACAATATATATAAGAGTTATGTACTGGGGGATTGGATAAACCCTGTATCCTAAACAGACAGTACATAACAATGTATCCCATACCTACTGTGGTACGAGGTTCATTCTACTTTCTAAGGTTCCAAGATAAAAATAATGTTTTCTTTTAAAAATTAATTTTTAAACTTTATGCTTGAAATTTTTCAAAAAATTATTTTTAAAATAGTAAAAAATTATATTCAAAGTTTTATATTACACATTCATATACGAGAGCAGTTTGTAGCTTTGTAGCAATTGCCAAGATGATTTGAAGGGTTTGAAATTCCTACAGTACCTCAGGGTCCTTACTTGTCCCAGCCTACTTTCTTAAGGCTTCTATGACGGCAGACCATACCTGCAGAACTAGGTATACTGTGTAGGCCTACTATTCTTTATAATGATTGTGTCTGTTGCCAGAAATGCTAGCGAAATCTCATGAATGGCTACAATCTGTGCAATCCACTGTTTTTCAGATACACATTACTGTGTAGGCCTACTATTCTTAATAAATTGTGTCTGAAATTCTAGTGAAATAGCTACAATCTGGACAAAGCACTGTATTTCAGATATACATTACTGTTTATCTTCCAGTACAGGTATATTGGTAATACAATGGATGATCAATATGTTCCAACCTTTGGAGCACCTTTGGTACCTCTAAGAGGTGTTCTACTTGGGGGGGGGGGCTGTTCTAATTACAGAGGTTCATTAAACATTGAGTCAATTTGTATTGGAATTCTGAAAAGTGTTCCACTAATTGAGGTGTTCCACTGTCACTGTATTCAGCAGGAGATCCAAGCCGCAAATGTGCTTCGGTTAGCCGATTTCTACTTCCGCCGGGACGTCATAAAGTCCGATATTTCGATTTCGTCGGTAGAGCCCCAAATCACCCAGCCATTTTTGATTGTTCCTAACTTTGTGAATTTTTGATGAAATTGAATTCTGTTTTCAGTTTTGAGTTATATAAGTCTAGAACTTAGTTCATTAGAGTGTATATGACTCAAAGCTCGTGAAAATGCAGCTGAAATGCTTTCGAAACAATTCGAATTTTTTTCAAGCGATTTTTTAAGAAATTAAAACTTTTTCGAAAAAACTGGCAGAAAACCATCTCCCCCTGCTCTGAGATTCAAAGTGGTATTTAAATGATACAAGACGATATGGGAAACATTTTTATCGACTTACATTTTGTGAAGAATACGTGCAACTCGCTGAAAATTACTTTCAAACCTAGATCATTATTTTCGATTTTCTTGTTTCACTATTGAAGAGCGATCGTCAGTTTCCGGTTCCGCCGTGCGTTTCAAACTTTTTGCTTTTGAACATATAGACCTTTTTAGGTTGAATATAATGGTACTCATGCAGATTTACTATGTTGTATATGTATGCTGTATATCTGACTACCCATGGACCTCATAATGAGTAAGTACAAACGCTTAATTGAGCCTAGGATCGACGAAACATGTCAGTTAATTGACCTAGATTTTTCAAAATGGATGCCATATTTTCGATTCAAAATCGGTAAAAACTATGTTTTGATATCTACAATAACATATTTTCAGGGTAATAAATTGAGCGATTACAATACACCTGGAATTCTAACGACATATTGTGGACATCAGAAGGTGCAAATCGTTTAGAATTGCAGCATTAACACATTGAACAGGTTGGTTATTTCCTTATTTCATGGGTTCCAAGCTTCAAAATGTTGATACATTCTCTCTGACTGCAATTTTGAACCAGGGTAAACGGTTTTAGAATCTGTCTTTATATTCTCAAGTCAATTTATAATTTTTGACTCAAATTGCTGTAGATATTGACTCTATCTTTACTTGAGATACTGTTCTAGCTTCTAATCATTTTCTATTATCATAACGAGACCCTGTATCTGTTGCAAGACTAACGCCTGGCGTAACCGTCACCATGTTATTCAGTGTTTTTAAGTAGCGCAAGGATCCTGCCATGACCGCGGTAATGTTATCATGAAAGCTTGGTATAACCGCGACAATGCTGTATTATATTGCAATGCCTGCCATGACCGTGACAATGTAATATAGTTCTGCAAGGCCTGGCATGACCGTGACAATGTTATATAGTTCTGCAAGGCCTGGCATGACCGTGGCAATGTAATATAGTATTGCAAGTTCAGGTATGAGAGTGATAATGTATAAATTTACGATAAGGACTGCTATAACCGTGACAATGTGTATTGCAAAGCCTGGCATGATCGCCACCAGGGGGCTGATTCGGGGAAATAACATGGCAGGGTATTACAAAATTCCCTTAAACCTGAATATTGATAAGTTTTAGTGGTTCACTTTTCATATTATCCTCATGTATGTGATAGTTATACAAATTAAAATATGTCCAGTAAAAGAAAATATTATCTGCCCAACACAAGAAAATATATTTCACTTTTTGTGGTTTTACAACATGGGGTCTATGGGGAATCTCCCGACCTATAAGTCACATTTTCAAAGAAAATTGAATTTTCAAAGTTGATAAACTCTTTTCAAAACCACATTTCTAGATATAATTTTACATGTCGATTCCAAATATGACATCCGTTTGAATGAATTGTGAATTTCTAATGATGTAAATCAAGATTATTTCTACTCGCATCTAGGATATTTAATATGACTCAAATAATGATCAAATTAATCACTTTTGGATACATGTACTGTATGAAGTAAAATGAAAATATCTTCAGCTTTGACTCCCATTTTGAATAAGCCATCAATATTGTTAATATCCTATGTGTTCATTTTCTAAATGTATTATAGTTGTTTCATTTTTGTAGGATCATGTGCTTCTAATGTGGAGTGAGGATGCCTCAAATATGAGCAGCTGGCTTTGAACTCTTATGCAACTGGCTCTTACAGACATCTCTCTGAAATGTTTACAAAACCACACGACAGGAAGTTCTTATCAGTGTAAGTCAGCTTCTCATATGGTTCATAATATGTTCTACCTGCTGTCAAGGTTGGAATTGTCATTTTGGAGATTTAACCCTGGAAGGCCTAAGGGAGGTACATGTACAAAAAGCTCCTGGAGTTTCGTTTTTTCTTCGAAACATTTTGTCGGTTTTGGGTAGTGTCTTCAAATAGCTGGGGCTACAGGTACATCAAATGTATTCTTAAAAAATTAGTACCGTGGGTACTGGGCTCACATGGTGACAGAATAATTTTTTGCTGATTTTTTGTTACAAAATTATTTCAAGCCATCTGTCTCTCAGTCAATTAAAATGGCTGAAAAAACGGATATAATTTTTTGCCAATAATTTGAAACAAAATTATTTCATACAACTACTCTTTACAGTGACATGGCTTTTTGCAATGCAAGACACCTGAAATTATTTGTAAAGCTAGGAAATGGGCCAAAATTGAATTTCGCGAGACAAAAATGGCGACCATTTTGAAATCAGGCAAGCTTTTGAACCAGGAGTCATAGGGGAGTTTTCTGAATTCATATTGAACAGAAATAACTTAAAACAGGAATCCTATCGACAGAGGTTTTAAAACGTGCCACAGAAAGTGGATTTCGCGAGTCAGATAGACAAATCAATGTTAACTAAAATGGCTGAAAATAAAAAAATGGATACAATTTTTCGCTGATTTTTTGTATCAAAATTATTTCATATATCTACCCTTTACATTGACATGGATTTTTACAATGTAGGACACCTGAAATTATTTGTAAAGCTAGGAAATGGGTCAAAAGTGAATTTCGCGAGACAAAAGTGACGACCATTTTGAAAATAGCCAAGCTTTTGAACCAAGAGTCATAGGAGAGTTTTTTGTATTGATGTTGAACAAAAATAACTTAAAATGGGAATCCTATCGACAGAGGGTTTAAGGCAAATGGTCCAAAAGTGAATTTTGCGAGACAGATGGACAAATCAATGTTAACTAAAATGGCTGAAAATAAATAAATGGATATAATTTTTCGCTGATTTTTCGTAGCAAAATTATTTCATAGCATCTACTCTTTACTTTGCAATGGATTTCTACAATGTAGGACACTTGAAATTATTTGTAAAGCTAGGAAATGGGTCAAAAGTGAATTTTGCGAGACAAAAATGGCGGCCATTTTGAAAATAGCCAAGCTTTTGAACCAGGAGTCATAGGGGAGTTTTCTGAATTCATGTTGAACAGAAATAACTTAAAACAGGAATTCTATCGACAGAGGTTTTAAAACGTGCCACTGTTATTGACAGAAAGTGGATTTCGCGAGTCAGACAGACAAATCAATGTTAACTAAAATGGCTGAAAAAAATGGATACAATTTTTCGCTGATTTTTTGTAACAAAATTATTTCATATATCTATTCTTTACATTGACATGGGTTTTTACAAAGTAGGACACCTGAAATTATTTGTAAAGCTAGGAAATGGGCCAAAAGTGAATTTTGCGAGACAAAAGTGATGGCCATTTTGAAAATAGGCGAGCTTTTGAACCAGGAGTCATAGGGGGGTTTTCTGTATTGATGTTGAACAGAAATAACTTAAAACAGGAATCCTATCGACAGAGGTTTTAAAACGTGCCACTATTGTTGACGGACGGACGGACGGACGGACAGACAGACGGACAAGTGAGTGATTGCAAAAGCTCACCATGTGAGCTAAAAATCAGTGGAATTGTACATAGGGTAATTAATTTAATATGCTTATGCCCTTTGTACCCCCTCCCCCTCTTGGGACTTTGTGTGAAATACATACCTAAGGCTTCAAGGGTTAATATAGATGTACTTTGCCAATGATTTGATACGCAATATATTTTTATAATGAAGTAATATTTCTGTAGATCTGACCTATGGTTAATAATTAAAAATGGATTGGAAACAATGTTTTCAATGTCAAAGAAATTGTAGATTTCCTTTTGTTGGATTAAGTGTGAAACTTGTGTAATTTATGATTGACATTGATCAAATATTGTATTTGTTTTTATTATCATTTATTGCAGCAAAGTTAAGATATAACAAACCAATGGGAAAGAATCTATCATGGATTGTATGTTGCTTCATGCAGCACATCTGATTGGTCCTATATGTTAGACAAACTTGACTGGAGGGTATGCAGATCCTATGATAAAAATGATAAAAGTAAGCTGATACCTGTATGTCTCATTATTTATTCACATGTAGGCAGGCATGACATCCAAATATCCAGTCAATCAGAACACACCATTCAAACTTATATGCATTTTACATTTTACAACTGATTAAATATTAACAATTTACTTGATTACCTTCCTCAATTTTGTAAGCAGTTGAGTGAATAGTACCAATTTGAATAAGTATAAATCAATAACAAGGTAGGTACTTATGCTGGTCAAAATGTTAAAAGATTGAATCCTTTTGAACAGGGAAACCACTCTCATGCAAAGTATTGAGCTTTATTTTACATCAAATGTATACATGTATATTTGCAGGATTATAAAGCAGGAAAGATTCCAAATACTCGAATCTTACCACTTTGGCTGTCAGGAGGTCATCTTCCAACTAACAAACATTGAACAATGGGAATACAGGAGGATAGCTTTCCCAAGATCATCTGGGCTTATTCCAATAACATTCAAATAAATCCAGTTCCCAAATACAATTTCCATATGCATCAGATATATTGGATGTTCATGTTATCCCACATGGAA